ACTCGAAAAAAAACCCCAAAAACAAAACCTGTCCCTTACCTCATGTCTTCAATGTGGGAACTCTGAATGTTCTCTACCACAGGTGTCAAACTCAAGGCCCAGGGGCCAGATCTGGCCCGCCACATCGTTTCCCGCGGCCCACGAAAGCAAATCAAAGACGTCGACTTTCTTGACGCTTGCGACAATCGCGACCAACATTTCCAACTCTCATTTGAAACAAGTCAGAGTGATATTTGAAGCGTTTTCTTCCAAACCCATTACAGTAACTTAGGTGAATAAACCGTTCTCTATACGGTTTCAGTCATAACAACCCTCCAAGGAAAACTGCAACTCAAATCTGGCCCGCGTCAAATATGAGTTTGACACCCGTGTTCTAAACTATCTTCATTAATTTCCATATGTGGAGTATGTCACATCATACGTGTGCGGCAACTTTTGTCCGGTTTCTCACTAGCAGGACCGTAGCCCCCCCCCCTCCCCACCGCCCATTTTATCTTTCAAGTTGCTCGACTTGCATCAACCTCCCTCAGATTCCAACACTGACGGGCCGGAGAAAAGGAGCCTCCGACTGGCTCGGAATGAGACTGATCCCTTGCCAGGCAGCCTCAGCTGGGCGGGGGGGCATTGTTGTTCCAGAGAATGTTGGCGATATCGTCCAGTATGCTTTGTCATTGTGCGAGAAACGAAGATAAAAGCACCTGTTGAAAGCACTTCAAAAAAAATCAAGTCGGCAAGAGCGTGAAAATTCAACTCCAGGTCACGGCGCACTTTTCATCGACTTTTTTTTACAAGACTATAAAGCGCAATGGAGTGTTTCATATGCCGTTCGTGGCATCAAGGTACAGCGCTCCAAAGTTTTCCAGAGTGAGTGTAAAAGTGGTAGCCGCGAGAACGATGGCGCCTGCGTTTTGATGTTCAGCTCCAACGGCGCAATTCTGAAGTCTGCCAGCCGGCTCGGTGGCAAGGAGGTGCCATTTACGACGCGCTCCGCGTCTTAGCCGACCGCTACCGCTTTCTCCTCGAGTCAAAGGAGGACATTAAAAAAAAATAATAATAAAAAAAAACAAGCACGCTACAGTTTCCACACGCAGTCCACTTCTAATTTTGGCGTCTGGTTCATTTGTTAGCGTTTTCTCAAAGCGAGGCCCGGGGCATTTTACGGGGGAACCCGCAAAATTTGTTTTAGATCGAGAGGATGGAGCCAACGGAATTAGAACAAGTTGCTACTGTCGATTGTTCCGTGTCGTCGACAGTCTGTTAGTTTTGTTGTACAGCCTCTTGCGATGGAAAAAAAAAGATACTTTTTCCTCAACCGGGATATGAAACAAAAAGTCGGTGTGGTCCCATTTCATGATGCCAAATGAACTCTTGGGGACAGCCTATCATGTTCTCATAACTGCTGCACAAAAGTCTTAATTGTGTCCAAAGCTTTGTGTTTGGTTCGTCGATATCTGAAATATGCCTGGATCAAACTCTGCCATAAAGTATTCAGAAGAAGCGTTCCTTCTGTATGCAAGAGAAGAAAAAAAAAAAAACGGCCAAAATGTCAGTCTTGGCTGGTGACTGATCGTGCAACCAAGCTTGTTGCTTGATTTTCAAAAGTCCCTCATGGTCCTGAACCCCGCCCCTACGTGAAAAATACTTTTTCGTATCTGGCCGACGGTGTTCCTCGCCAGCCAAGTGTGAAAGATAATTGGCCACCTCAGAGGTTTTAATGGAGCCACTTTGATGGAGTCATCTGCTCGCAACCACTTTTGCATTTCATCACTCCGCCCCCCCCCTCCCCCCTCCCCTTTCCGTCTGTCAATTATACTTGATTTACAAGGCGTCCGAGGGACAGCCGATGTGAAGCATCAATTTGTGCCGCGGCTGATTGCGCCAGAGCGAGGGGAGACGGTCGGGGAGATATCATTCATTCACACGGCAAAATGTCCTTCAATTATCCCCGCGTCGAATTGAAGAGTGAGTCATCCGGGGGGGTCATTAGTCTTCTCGGGAGCTTACCTCCGACAGGTTTGGAGTCGGAATCACACGTTGCGGCGGAGATGTTTGGACTCTTTTTTTTTTTTTTTTTTTTTTTCTGCTTCGGTCCAGGCAGGACTCATCGCTCACGAAGTTTGTGTTGACACAGATGGTTTGCCTCCACCTTTTGGGCCTCGCGTGAAGGCTTTAACAGACTGGAAAACGGAGTACGTGTGACTGTTTTTTTTTTTTTTTTTTTTTTTTCTTTCGTTGGATTACACGACTCGGTGTCTTAAAAGTGACAGACAAAAGCCAGGCCAGGGTGATAACGTGCTAATGAGCCTCCTTTAGCATAACAAATAAAAGGAGGTAATCACGCCATTCAAAATGATTGCGATGACAGCGATGAGTGATGCTTTTTTTTTTTTTTTTTTTTTTTAAAAGGCGCGGAGGTGACAAACGGGCCCCTGCAACTATTTTTCCCTTGGAAGTATTTGCAGCTGCAAATCACGCAAGGCTCCCTCGCCAAAAGCCATCTATTATTGTAAAGCCGAGACCGCGTTCAGCAACTGTAAGCCGCGATACATAATCACATTTTCCCAAGGCTTACTTTCGACATGGCAGGGATGAATGTAGATGTCCTCGAGGTCACTTCGGTTTTTATTCGTCACATGTGACGGGTATCGCTGATGATTTTTGCATTCCGCTCCTCACTTTCCTCGGCGGCGGCAATTCAATCCGACGCAGCGGCCGGCACACATCGAGAGGCTCTTGGCCGTAATGAGGAATGATAGGATTTCCATACGTCCGCATTATCGCCTTTCAAAAGGGGGGCTGGACCTCATTCGGGGCGAGCGGCTTTCGGAAACCTCAACAGACTCGACGGGAGGCGACTGTCAAACAGAAACGGATGTGCGTCGTCCCGGCGGTCCAGCACGCTTTCATTGTGGTTCCGACCCAGCAGGTGGATACCACGCACTTGAAGATGCAGATTAAAAAAAAAAAAAAAAAAATCCCAGGGAGGGAAAATGGAAGATTTATTGCGGCAAGAACGTCAACAGCATTCGTTCCATCTCTTCCGAAATACTTTTGCACTTTCACTTTTAAAGCTCTTTGGAGATCTCTCCGAGGTCCTTTTCACTTTGGTGGGTGGGTGGAGATGGGAGGTAATGGGTGAGGCCCTGCCAATTCCTCCGAGAACCCATAAGCTCTTAAATTTGACTCTAAAGAGGGAATAATGAGCTTCTCTGCTGTTGTCTCTGCCTCACTAAACCTCCATTCACAAGCCGGTATGTTCGGCATTGACACGTACGTTGGCTTTGAAAGGACTCTTGGATTAGCCCGCACCCCCCGTTCCAATTGGTCCTTTCCGCTTCAGTGAATGAGCCTCCTTTCTACTCCCCCACCCCGTCTCGGGAGTCTTTGATCTCTGTCTCTTGGAAGTCGCTCAGTCAGTTCAGTGCATTGTGTTTGCTTGTTTAGGTGCTCTCATGAAAATATTCTCGCGCAAAAAATATGTGGGAGACAGTCACTGGTTGCTAGGCAGAGTTCAAAGAGCCGCTCTGTCTCGTAGGCCCAATGAAATTACAAGACATGTTTGCTGAAGTGTCGCTGTGTTTCATATATATTATAAAACCCCCTCTGGCTCTAATGCAGAGTCGCCACAGCTGTTTGTCGCTTATTGTGATCTAATCTGGTCCTTCACCTCTGCAAACGTCAGCAACAAGTCTCAGCTGGAAGTCATCCAGCTTCATGAGTGGGTGTGTGCGTGCGTTACCATCATATCCCCCCCCCCCCCACATCCTGTAAGCGCTTCCCGATTACCACCGTCATCTTCGACACGTGCGCATGAGCCAAAGATCCCCCACCGGGGGGTTGTCCAACCAGGCCCAGAAGACGGATGAAAATGCAGTGAAATAAATTCACCAGAACAACTTCCTCATCCCTTTAGTCGCCGCTCCAGATGGTTCGCTGCAGTCGCAATGTGCTTCCGCTTTGATTTAGCATTTGCGGGCGCTGCTTCGGTGTGGATACGGACACGGGATGTGCGAAATGCAGCGTCAAAGGAAGATTACCGTGTGCATGACGTGGGGGGCGGGGGTGGTGACGTTGACCCCATTGTCAATCCGGAGGCTGACCTTTGAGTTCTCGGGGAAGCGATGGGGGGGGGCTCCCATTGCCCTGCGTTAGTTCTCGTGACGTACATTTTGCAGACTTCTTCCTTTAACGATGTTTTGGTTGCCCATAACAAAACGCAAATGGCCGTTTGTTTCTGCAGTTTTTTTCACCATTTAGAGATTACGCTCCAATTGTGTCCGCAAGTGGAGTTCTACCTCGGAGTTAATGGGATTACAATCGGGAATCCCCCCCCCCACCTCCCCCATGACGCTTCAACGTGTTTCTACGTCGATTAGGTGTGGTTGAGACATTTATTTTTTTGGTTCGGTTACTCCGATTATTGTTCAGCCAGATGTTCCTTCCCCCGCTGAGTCGACAAGTTCAGGTAAATGTTTGATGCCGTCTGCTCAGTCGCTGATGTATTAGGTGATTACCCACCCATCCCCCCAGCAAAAAAAATTCAGCCTTGCACAATAATTTCCCGAACTCTCCCATCCTCCCTTGTCACAGTCACTCATTTTTGTTATCCCATTCCGCCCAACTCCCTTGTTGCCGATGGCGTAATCGGAGCCGGATACTTCCTGGTGCAAATACCGGCGTCCGAGCTAATCACTCACGTCTTTTCCGCACCTCCTGACACAGAAAGCCGCCTCACGGCCTGAGTCGATCATAACTTCCAGCGTATAGGTTGCTACCGGTCTCCCTCCGGTCCTCTGGCCATCTTTCCTGCTGTCAGCCCCACCTTTTTCCTGGACGTATTTTTTTGCTGACTAACAGGCTGCCGTGTGACCTTTTGTCACCCAAATCTAGAGGTTTGGCCAGGTTGAGTAAGCAGGATGTGGCGTCAAGGAAGCGGAGGACTGAGAGAGTACCTTGAACTTGACGAGGTGTTAAAATCAGGTATGATTTAAGCTGGGCGGGTTTCCGGCTGCAGAGGCGATAGGTTGGAAGGACAGCCCGGGCGGGAAGTTTCCGATTCGTCATCCTGTCGTGTCTTGTTACCGTAATTATTTTTTCCGAAGTGGCACCAAATGAAGACTTATTGAGCGCATCCAGATTTTGACACGCCTAATCCCACCCTGTCCGCCGCATCCTCATAAACAGGGTGTCTGGTGTCCTCTCCTATTTTTACCAGCGGGTGCTGAAAGCCTCTGGAAGCCCCTCGTCAATGCCCATCCCATTCCCTCCCGCCGGCCTCGTGTCACCATTTATTAAGTCGTCATTACTCAGGTCCGCCTCGGCCCGCCGGAGGGGCCTCTCGAATGGTCGGGCCCTCTTGCCGCGCTCCCGAAAGGGCAACCCCTCGAAAGGCATGTTGCGGCGGATCAATGCAGGTACCCGGGCAGCCATTAGCCCGCGCTAATGCGGACAGATAGGAAGGGAGGCGGAGGTCGACGGATGGAGAGGACACTTTCATGTGTCTGTCTGCACATCGCCTTGTTTTGGGTAAACAGCCAAAAAGGCTCTTTGGATTCAAAGGGTGATGAGATATGTGGGGTGATGGACACCGCGTGGGGGCGTAAATCAACGTTACAAAGGAAAATGCTGAAAGACTTTGACAGCCGTAACAAAAAAAAAAAAAAAAGTTTGCATCTGTTGATTCTATTAGCGAGTGTGGGTTTTGTACTTTTTAGAAATCAGCGGCGCTCTGCGGTCCCGGCATGGTATATTTGCGCTTCAAAATCAGTGTATCGGTGCTTGAGTGTGACTTGAATGATCCTGAAGAAAAATCTTGTTTTTGGGATACTTTGACTCCAGTGGTGGGGTTACCGATCGGGGGTCTCGGTCCTCTCAGGTTGTTTTCTTTAGACTGCCCCAAGGTGCGCCAGTTGACACATCAGCACCCGTGTTTATCAAAGCTTTTATCACCTCGACACTGCAACCCAACCATCCACCCCCCCTCCCCCCACCATATGGGAAGGAAGCAGGAGGTGCCCACACACACACACGCACACATAGACTCAAGTAAACCAACCACCTGCGGGGACGTTGGTGGGTCTTTGTTTCGCTGACCCCCCCTTCACTCATGCGAACGACTTTCCCAGAGACAGGATCTGTACCAGACTGCGCAGGTTGACGACCAGCATGTGTTGTGCTCACAAGCCGCCGGAAAATAGAATCATCAAACACGCGTCGTGAGACTTCGAATGTTGAGCCATCGAATTCGATTATTTAGAGTCGCGATATTCAAATAATAATAATAATAATAATAATAATAATAATAATACGTCGTCACAAGGTTTGCCCACTCGCAGAGGTCCGTGTGGATCTCTAAAAATAAAATCCCTTTCAAAGAAAGCAAAAATCCTGAGCATGTAACAACTGGGAAAAAAAAAAAAAAAAAGACAAGAAAATGTGGGCAGATGAGAAGGCGATTCATGTCGGTGTTTCATCGTCGCTGTCAAGTTATCCCGCCCCCGTCGCTCTCTCTCCCATCGCTCGCTCCCCTCCCCTCTCCCTCGCTCTCTCTCTCATCCTCTCTCTCTCTCTCTCTTTCTCTCCCCGGCAGTCTGCTGGAGCTCCACGCCAGGATTAGAGGGTTACCGCCAGTGTCTGATCATTTGGGGGGGAAAAAAAAAGAGAAGAAGAAAGAAAAAAAATTATCCGGAATATAAGACCGCCTTCACTTAACGCATTTGTTTTTTTTTTTGGGCAGTTCAACTGATTCCCAAGTGTCCGGCATCTTATCCCTGAGACCTCACCTGGGGGACTACCTTCTGGACCTCCATCCGGAGAGCCATGTGAGCTGCACCCCACCTCAAACCGCCCAACACCCCTCCAGCTAAAGGGAGCACACGTTGGATTCTTCCCCTTTCAACTGGAACCTTCACTTTCCGTCCACGCCGAGAGGGGATTCTCCGGGCTCGCCGCTGTGCCCCCCCGCCCCCTCTCCCCGGAGCTACTCATCTTGGGGCGCTGGTAAGGGGCTGTGAGTGCCCCCCTGGTCCGGAGGCCAGCCGGCAGCACTCCAGCGCCATGGATTACCTGTTTGGCTTCGTGGCGCTGCTGTGCGGGGCGCTGCAGCCGGGAAGTGGACTGGAGCCCAAGCGCAACGTACCCAGGCTAAAGCTGTCATACAAGGGTAAGCCTATTCTCGTCCCGCTCTCCCGTAATGTTGGACTTTTGGCAAAGCCAGACCCGTCGAGTCTCTTTTCCTTGCCGACGGGCACTCTTTCATTCATTTCTTTTCATCTATTTTATGCTCACGAGGATTTTTTTTCTTTTTTTTTCGTCCTCTAATTTTGCGTGGCTATTTAAAGCGCCGGTTGCCTCCGAAAGCATCTCCCATTAACTTCTCTGTTACTTTTCCCCGTCTCTCTTGCTTCGAATTTGCCATTCGCCTCGCAAATGTCCGGATTGGTTCCATATGCCGAGGTCGAGCTTTTTGCCTCAAGTTAAATGTATATATTGGCTCCTGGCCCCATTGTGCAGCCCTGTTAAGTGCCCCCCCCCCCCACCCTGGTACAGCCAGTCGAGACTCTGTTTCAATGGCTTCTGTCCCAAAAGTCTACTGTCAAATAATGGAGTCGGGACTTGACTTTTGACACAGAGACATTCTTGAAGCTTTTAGCTGCATCCAAAAATGGAAGTAGAGTACGTTGGCAGCAGTTTCGAATTTTGAGTAGCGAATGGGGGGTACCTATTTGGCAAACGTGTCATTGCCGCCTCCCGCCGTGTCACTTGAACGGCGACTGCCCGAGCGCTCTCGTGGCTCCTCCCTCCCGCTAAATCTCTCTAATAGCAAACTTTTTCCTCTTCGCTCGGAATAATAACATTTTCTGCATACTTCAGGGAGGCTAGAAAGGGAGGCCGTTGTGGTTCGCGCCCTAAAACACGATCCAGAGTGGCCGGCAGGGAGAGTGCGGTCTCTATTTTAAGTCTCCCTCGTAAAAACGTTCCCTCGGAAAATTTATGATCAATCGCTGTCAATTTGCAAGTGACAACAGGACTTTGTGGTGGAAGGTTCCCCTTGTGTGTGCGTGACGGCGCAGACCAAAGCTTTGGTTCCCCCCCTCCCCCTCCCTAAATAATTTTGCTCGAGTTGAGAAATATATTTAGAAATCTCGTGAACGGGGCGAACGTGATGTTTCGCCACTCTAATTGATGTTCTATCTTTGGCCGACTTGTTTGGTGGAACTTATGTTTAGTGGGCTGCCATATGACATGTTTCATCCTTCCGACGAAGCCCAGGTTGTAATTTTGCTGTGATATATTTCCCATTATCGCTGTTTCTGTCCACTCCGACCCTGCACTTGCACCCCAATGGTCCGTTTTTTTTTTTTTTTTTTTTTTGGCGGAGAAGAGGCGGCGACTTTGATCGCGTCAAAACAATCGCGGGTGGCGCAAAGTGGGCGGTCGCCTAAGTTGACGTCTCTGCGGCTTGATGAAAAGGGAAGGACGGTGTCAGTCCCGGCGATCGCTTGCAGACTGGAGATCGACACCAATCGTTACCTGGGCAACCGAAGCCCGGCAAGCCGAAGAATGAACGGCTTCGTGCTCGCCTCTCGGAGGACTCGAAATAAATCTGCCAGGACTCACCTGATCCGAGTCAGACCTCCCTTGGGTGCCATCGTGGGGGCCGGCCCGCAAGCGCGATGTGTGTGTGTGTGTGTGTGGGGGGGGGCGGGGGGGGTGTCATCCCTCCCTCAGCCATCTGTGTGAAGAATGCTCAAATGGTTCCCTGACAGCTCCTCAAGAGAAATAGACTGTCATCCAGTGTCTGTATTAAGTGCGCGAGTGATGAATTAGAGAGCGCGATGGGACTCCATTCTTTTTTGTGAGTAACATGCATCCGGTCTTACCATTCGACACCTGGTTGTGCGCGGACGCATCTGCCAACAAATATGTCATAGATCGTGCATGTCGCCCGCCGCTCGTTTTGCGTCTGCGGCCCCCCCCCCACAGGTGCCTCAAGGCGCTCTTGATGCCTGTCACGGTACCGGACGGGAAGGTTGTGGGCAGGAATTGGCAGCAAGAGAGTCACAGACGGAAGGGAGACTGGCCGCCGAGTGAGGTGTCACTCATCCCCTCTCCCTGCATAGTAATTAAGTCAAATAAACGACAAGGCGGAATCCTCTCGAGCGCGACGACCACACGGGTGCTGAGTGACGCCACGGCGCTGTGGACGGAACAAGCGGGGGCCTGTGATTTGGTGGACTGTCAAATAAACAAGCCGGCGCACGAGGCAGCCTCCTCAAAGGGGGAGAGAGCCGGCCGACAACTCCCTTTTTTCAGGGAGCCGGACCGAGTCTCCGATTTAGCTCGAGCGGAATGGACGCGGCGACGAGCGAGGGGCGGCGGGGGGCAGTTGGCGGCGCAGAATGGCCGACAGATAAAATGAGCCCTCGCGGGACAGCTGGCGCGGCAAGTGCAGAGTGAATGATTTCCCACCGGGGGCCAGTTGGGACGTTGGGCAAAAAAAAAAAAAAAAATGGCTTGGCTTCAGTGAGCGGAAGATCGCAGGAGTTAATGATTTTCTCTCCGCATGAAAACAAAATACTTTTACTTCTGCTGACAAGTAGTCAAGGGAGGTCAAAGGTGAACGGCAAGTCCAACTGGAGATGGTCTTGGGGACGGGTGAGGATGATGGTGGGCGGAGTCTTATGTCCAGTGCATAAACCAACGTCAACGCCGACAAGCACCCTCGCGAAAACAATCCTGGAATGATATGAACCTCACCTCACCTCGATCGATACGGGCGACATTTTGGCTGGAAATCTTCCCCATTTCGGAAAGCGGATCACGACTTCTCGTTGCGCTTTCGACAAGCGCGATGCCTCGCTCACACTGCCTCGCTCACACTGCCTCCTACTGGTCAAGCCGTGCAAATGCGCGTGGTGGAAAAGCGGAGTGACCCCCGAGTGATCCCGAGCCTAAAACGCTTTAGGAACCCGATAATTTCAGTCAGCTTGGGTAATTATGGAGTCGGCTGCGAAATGAAGAAGGCCGGCCGGGGGAATCTGGATCGGGCTTCCAGCGCTTCAAATAGACTCTCGGTGCGGAACCGCATTCGCTGTCGTCTGGACTCCATAATAAGCCGCTCTCGATGATTGTGTCCTCGTCGGCCCCCCCCCCCCACCGAAAGAGTCGAGTGAACGTTTTTGGGACGTCGGCTCATCGGCGAGCATCTTCTGTCTGTCTCGTCCGTCCAGCCTACCGTGGCGGATGTGCATAATTACACGATGTTCTCCGCAACTTTGCAGACGCCGCCGGGCCTCCGTGTCATTCCTTTCGGCGGACCTCCTCCCCCCCCTTCTCCTCCTACCCCGCGGAAAAACCGCAACCCCGCCGACTTTCAGTGCGCTCTTCCCGCATATTTTGCATTCTGTCTCCTCGACACCAAAACCCCGCCGCGTTCTTGCCGCGGCTTTGTCGCCTTGCGTGCGTTGGACCCAAATATATCGCAGTCTGATTCACTTGCGTGTTTGGCGAGCGCGTGCGGACGTCCTACGTGTGCATCACGTTCTCCGAGAATCGACTCGCGGGGACCGAAGGGAAGCGATGCGGAAACCCAACAGAAGCGCGTCATTTAGGAAAATGTGCAATGTGTTTTGGATTTGGTCACGGGGGGAAATGACTCGCGCGCCTCGCTTCGCTCAAGGTACCAAAACGGTGATCTAGAAATCACGATAAGTGGAGTTGAGTGACATATAACGAAGACTTGAATGAAAAACACTACGATCGGTGTCAGATGTCGTCTGGTTGGATTGTTTTGGTCCTTCTCCAAAACAATGTTCTTTGTCTCGACTGAATGGTCCAGATTTGCATCAATGATCAAGATGCGATCCGGCCTTCGGCGCCGCATTCTCCCTCAGAACGTCATCGCCCGGCAAGGCGCTCGGGAGGGAAACCGTTCACCGCGCCGCTGTCTTTGCATCTCGCCGCGAGCGGCTCCGGTTACAGCCGAGGCGCGCATTTGCCGAAGCGCGGCTACGAACGGGCGCTCCCACCTGCTGAGGCTCGTCAAGTCACGGAGGAGAGAGGGGAGGGCACGGCGCTCAATCCCAGTTTGGAATCGGGTTACAAATTAGCGGACGACGGACTGATGGACAACTCGCGGACACATGGTTGATGGGAGGAGAAACTGCGAATACTCGATTCGATCGCCAAACTCTTGATTGCATGTTCGACGGCGTAGGCAAAGAAAGCTTCGCCATTTGCCGTCCGTACCCGCTTCCGAGCGGACCTACGACTGCCTGCTTGAAACCAAAATGGCCGACTTGCCGTGCAATTTCCGGCCGGGGTCCTTGAGATGCGCGGCCCACCCAATTACGTGTCAAAATTGGTGTCGGAGCCTGATTTCTAACTTTCGAGGTTTCCTTGCGTTTCCAGGCTGAATTAATTGTCGCGTCTTGCTATTTTGTGTTTGCCGTCCACACTTTCATTAGTCCGGAAGAAAATGTCAGCGGCGACGCGAAGCAGCCGCGCCGCATACAAAGCATCTTGTGTGTGTGTGTTAAATGCAAAGCGGGGAAGCGTGTTAATGTCGCATGAACATTTAGCGGCGTGCATGTGTGGGCTCGCTGCGGCGGGCGCCACCGGGCCTCTGGGCCTGTCTGTGGTCGGCGCGCTCGCTGTGGTCCCACCGCGCGGTGACAGGAGGAGACGCACTAATCAAAAGCTTCCAGATTCGAACCGCTATTTCGAACACGTGTGTGTGTGTGTGTGTGTGTGTGTGTGTGTGTGTGTGTGTGTGTGTGTGTGTGTGTGTGTGTGTGTGTCTGTGCGTGTGTCTCAGCTGCTCTCGCGTTGAGTTGTCTCTCGTTTTTGTCTCGCCGGCCCACATTTGGCGCACTTTGACAACGGTACGTTTTGACGCTTGTGCAAAACTATAGCCTGGGTGATATATTTTCATGAATACCTGCTTGGGCGTTACTTGAGCCGTGCGCCAACTGTGATGTCATTTTTCAGTCGACGGCCAGTGGCAAGATGGCCGCCCCCGCTGAGAGAGATAAAAACCGGTGGATTTTGCCGCCAAATTCATATTCCGCAAACGCAATATTGATCAGAATGTCATGTTTATACCAGTGGAGCCGCATGGGACATATTAATGAAAAGAATATTTTTGACTTGACATCCCCTTTAAATCATATATTTTTTAAAAAATGATTCCGTGGTCATACATTGCGGGATGAGAAGTCAAGAATTCTTGGCAAATTATAGCGATATGGTGAAACAACAAAAGGAGTTATTTGAAAAGGAAAAACTTCAAAGTGATAAATTACGAGTAGAAAATAAAATAAAGTAAAATAAAATTAAAAGTCATGTTTCGTAACTTTTTGCAAATCTCGCTTTTGTGCCGCGTAGTTTTTCAGTCATTTTAGGAAACGACTTTTTATTTCTTTGCTTTTAAATATCTTCTTCTGTTTTGTAAGTGTCTTTAAACAAGTTAGTCTAAATATTCAGTCCGAGGCATCTGTGTGTAAATCTAAATCCAAACCAAAGAGAAACATAAATTCCTTGGAGAGGGTATGAAAGAAAAAAAAAAGTATAATTTTTTTTTTTTTTTTAATGTATACTGAGTTGTACCCACTACATTGGAAGTGCGCTCGCGTTTTGTTCCACTCTTCACTCGTCCAACCCCTCGAGTGCTGTTGAGAGAGCTCGGCGCTGAGGCACGCTGACATATTCGACCCGCGCTCGAGCCGCTCCCAAAGCTCCGGCGAAAGTCGGACAGGCCAAAAGTACGAGAGCAATTTGAAAATATGGCGGCGGAGGCGAGAGTTGTGTGCAAAACGGTCATCTTTGTACCTGGCACCTAGTTGTGTTGTTCCTCCCCGCGTCGCCACGGCAACAAGCCCACACCTGCCACTGTGCTCTCGCCGGGAAGGAGCCAGGAAGAAAAGCCAGAGAGGGAGGAGAACTTTGTGTGGATATCCTTGAGCTTAGGATAATATTTGAACACATTGTGGAGCGCCGCGCACATTTTCCGTGCCTTTTTTTTTTTTTTCCTGGCCTTTACCCGCCCCCCTGGCACCTGTGTTTTGAAGCCGAAGCCGCGGCGAACACACACCGAGAAGAAAAGGGAAAGGGCGGATTTCCGAGGTTGGAACACGCCTAACAAAACGTACAAAAAAAAAAAGACACAGCTTTGCTTTTGCAAAGATCAAATCACGCCTGAAAGTTGTCAACTCCCTTTTTTTTTTCCCCGTGAACATCGACGCGCTCCCTTCACTCGGTTGAGTCGCACAACTCAAAATGTCGCAAATATGCCTTTTTAGGCCCTTCACGTGATCTGATTTCTTTTTTTTTTTTGAAGTAATTTTTATTTCAATTTTATATTAAAAATGTTGTTTTTAATCTTAATTTTACATGGATATATCATTAAAAGGTTGTGAAAAATATTACTTATGGATTATAAAGTGATCAAATCATTTTCTCAGCCTTTTTAAAAATATGCAATGGAGTTGTCCTTTCAAAATTACAATTAAAAAAAAGAAAAAGAAAAATTCTGAAAATAAATCCTGTCCTGGGGGGAAAACTACATCGAGTGCAAAGTCTGAATATTGTGACAAAAATTGAACATTTTGTAATATTACGCAAAACTGTTCAGTTTATTCAGAATGGTCTTAATTTGGAAAGTTTGGAAAACTAATCTCATATTATAGCTTTAGTCCTCATCAGAAAATAGTTTTCCTCTTTTTGTTTTTTGTTTTTTTAACATGTATTTACATATGTAAGATGACGCTTTAAATCGAACACAGTGTTGTGTTAACATTTATTGAACGTCACTCTGCCATTCCTACGAGGAGACTCACATGGCTGAGCTCCCCCGAAAAAA